GACTGTACACGCTTGATAATCAAACTGGCCGTAAGGAACAGAATCCATGGACACGCCCTGGCCTGGGTGATGCACCTCGCCTGGAAAAGACCTTTTGGCGCGGGGGCTGGTACGAGGGGGATCCTGATCCTGGAGCTCTGTCTCCAATTTTAAAGGCTTCACCTCCGGTAGAGAAGGGGAGGTCATTGCTGCGTAGACCCTCTCCTTAGCTGTTGTCTTGACCATTTCGGCTTCGAGGTTAAGGCGTAATTCTTCCTGCTGTAAACGAAACTTTTTCTCTTCGAGTGTTTGGCGCTTTTCGAGCATAGAAATTTCAGCTTTTAACTCGGCAATTCTTGCGGCTTCTTTGGCTCTCGCGGCTGCAACTGATGAAGCACGACCACCACGTGAACTTGCTCGACTTGAATGTTTTGAAACCTTGGAAGCACCTGAAGGAATTGGTGTGCCAGCACAACTAATTGAATCCTCGGGATTCACTGCCGAATCTACTTGAAGCGATTCTGCTAATAACTTGTGTTCAATGTTAATTATCCAATCGACGATCTCCTGACGGAACACACGAACCTTTCTCTCTTTGTCTTCAAGATAGCGTTGACCCTCAATAATGGCGTCCTCATCCAGAATTTCTTCGACGTAATCGCGATGGGCCTCTTTAAATCTTTCAAAGGCGTTGTCGAAGTAAGGAAGCTTCTCTTTAACCTCCTGAAGATTATGATCACCAGTAAGCAAGCCAGAAATTTCATTGGAAATGGCGGTTACGGTAGATAGGTGACCAGACCTTGAATTTTTCTTTAAACGAAGTGTTTCCAGGTTAGACGCTTCAAAATCCAGCGAACGGTTTGGTTGTCGTACGCGTGTTCCAACTCGTCGGGCGACGGGATCTGTAAGCTGCTTGCGGCTAAAGCTCATGACGAAACGACATGTCACCAACAATTTTCAACGATGAAACTGCAAAAGCGTAAAGTCTCTTGGCCTTAATGACAACGCCACGAACCAAATAAGAATGAAGATTTATTGAGTGCACATACAAACGGCGTGGGTTGAAACTAAAACGGTAAAAAAGTAAAAAAGTTACAAGTTGCGACTAAAGTAAATAAGAGTAAAGAAATAACAAAACTGCAAAACGAGGACTGTGAAATACACTTACATTGTTTCGGCCAGAGAAAACTGCTGAAGCGGACTGCGAATAACGCGAAGCTAGGGACCAGCAAGAAACTAAAACAGAACTGCCCTAAGCGCGAACCAAACGAACTGCCCAAACTGTACTGCAAAATTACGATATATGAAAAATACGCTAGAACATGCGGAAAACAAAACTATAGAAACTTAGAAAGGCGCTAATGAAGATGAAACAGCAAAGAAACGCTAACGAGGGCGCGAAAACTGACAAAAAGGAATAAACACCTAAATTAACGCAAAAAAAAAGACTAAACAAAAGGACGAAAAGAAGTATAAACTAATTTGCGTACGCAAAGGAAAAACAAATTACACAAGAACGAATAATAGGAAAAATGTTACACTTGGATCTTACAGTTACCATAGCCTTAATTGTACCTCTTCTATGTCACGTAGCCAATTTGAAATGTCTTCAAATGTCTTCTCCTTGGTTATATCGTATACAAGCATAATGCCCTGCAAAAATCAAAAACATGTTAATTTTTTTAATGATGACTGATGCTGAATTGAAAGGGTATTAAATTAATATGTTTTAAGTAAGTTACGGTGAGACTGATGTTCTTTTTATTCTAACTCCTGAGGTTTGAAATGATTCTATAAGGTAAGGTGTTTCTTGGCACAAAAGAAACTGAATACCTCTCAAAGTAAATAATTCCACTTACCATCGCTCCTCTATAGTATAACGTTGTCATTGAGTGGAAGCGTTCTTGGCCAGCTGTATCCCTACAAGAACAACAACACTGCCTTCTCAACATGGGGCAAAGACGGTTTTCCGAAAAAAAGGACTGAAACATAGGCAGCAAGGAGGACGTTTTGGTGGTGGTGTACTAAGTGCCACCAAAGGGTGTAATAAGGCTTCCTCGAGGGAAGACCTCGCCTGCGAATCTGAGTTATTGTTTATCGATGTATGAAGTATTTTACAGGCCGCCCAATAGTAACCCAAAAGTTTTGCAATGACTCCAAAATTCCTATCAGTAACATCACCACGGACATGATATTAATCAGAGAGTTTATTTAAGTGAATTTGACTGGGCCTGGGGGGGCTGGCAGCGAGGTCTGGAACCGAGTTTACATGATCGCCCCAGTTAAGAAATTTGGCCGAGTGAGACTGAGTACCAAATTTCCTTGACAACAAACACCTGAACAAATATGGCGGAGAATGCAGACATGGAAGGACGATGAGTTTTTGCTCGCTTTTACGTATTCCCGCGTCCAAACATCAATTAATGGAGTTTTTGGACATCAGGAGGCATGATGTATCAACAGTTCAAGGGTGACTTCACTTTTCGTGATTCGGCATCTCGGCAAGTTATTCAGTTATGTTTAAGCTCCGTGAAATTTACGAGCGACTAGCCTGCTCCATCTCTTATATTTTTCCACATACAGCGGTATTAAGACTCTTTTCCTTATCCTAAACATGTGCTACGAGCACATTGCATTAGTATGAGTCTTGCAACAGTCATTAAACCAATTTTCTAGTTCGCTGTTCGTAAGTTTGTTTGTACAGTGGGAGCCACAACAAATAGGTGTTTGGGCTGTAAAGGTTGATGAAGAGCAGTCTATAGTTACATTTTTTGTACCACCATTTTTTTTCACCAAGTTTTTTCCATGTTTCTAAGTTTAAAAGCTAACTGAATTATTTTATAATCCTGATTTAGTTCATTTAGCATACATAATTTATGTATGTTAAATGAAATAAATCAGGATTATAAAATAAGGTCTCTTGGCTTGAAAAGGGTAGGGAAATGAACAATGTGTCCTACTAACCATACTCTCTTTCAGTGGAAACCCAGGGAGGTGATCTCACATTTTCATACCCTTTACCACTTGTTGTAACAGCAAAGTCAGCAAAGATTTATGGTCTCTGAGAAATGTTCTTGCCTGCCTCAACACAAGCTTCTAACTGTTATTGTTGACTACAAATAATATTATCTTAATAATCATTTTACATTTTTTTTCCAAGGCATTCTATGGTGTTTTTCATATCCACTAGTACAAGGCAATTTTTAAGTTGAGAGGGTTTCATCGTGAACTACATTTTTATACAGAAACAAACTAACCTGGCACGTTGATGTCCAAAGGTGTAAAAAAATTACGTGCAACTGTATGGTAGAAACTGATCACAGTGGCCAAAGGAAAGGCAAAAATAGAAACGTAACCATTTTCCTGATTTTATAAATTTCCTTTGAAGCATATTTAGCCAGATGTGGTCCTTGTCAAAACATGCAAACTTGAACATTTATTTTCTGAACTTAGTTAATCTTTTTAAACCACAATCTTGTTCCAAGGGGTAAATGTAATTTTTGGAATATATAATTTTTCCCTCTCTGTTGGCAACAAAACACACTTGAATGAGGACTCAAACTAAAGGCACTGTAATAACCGCTGTCATGAAAAGAGAATTCCAAACACCCAAAATAATTACTCTTCCATTTGCCTAAGCTTCATTTGTTGGAAACTACGGTACATTTTAAATTAAATCACATGAACATAAGAACTTTATAAGCATATCAAAATGTGCAAAATCAAGAGAGAAATGTGATCTATCAAGGCAAAATTTATGTAGGTTCTAGTACATAAAGAAATGTATGAACTACGAGATTTGACCATGTCACTCAATCGTCCAACGCAACTCTGCCAGGATACGTTCACAATCAAGGATGAAGAATTAAGGGAAAGTTCATTTAATATGACAAGGGGGGATATTGAAACTCGAAGCTTGAAATTTTAGCAGCCCCCCTCGCTAGCGGTTCAATTTTTTAGGAGCCCCCTCCTTGGTAGTCGAAAAAATTTCAGAGCCCCCCCCTCCTCCTTTAATTCCTTTGCTCCCCTGAAAAAAGATCGCTAGACTGTATTAAATATATTTACCGTTATTGTCTTCAATGGTTTATACTATGACAAACTTGAGATACAGTTGTGATACAATTTTCTAAAGCATTTTTAGGATGAACAAGAGTGTCATAATTACTGAGACTACATTTGTTATATCTGTAAACCACGTGATATAGCTGAGTTGCACAGGTCATTAAATTGTTGAGTTGAAAACCATCCGATCTGTATGATGATGTCATGTGTTGGTTTTGAAGTATACAAATTTTCGGAGCCCCCCTCCTAGCGCAACAATTTTTTCAGAGCCCCCCCTTCGGGTGTTTAAAAATTTTCGGAGCCCCCCTCAATATCTTCATCCCCCCTTTGTCATATTAAATGAACTTTCCCTAAGAATCTCAATCATCATTTCTTGACATTTTAAAGGTGTAGTAAAACCGTAAACAACTCTGACAACTCTTCTTCTCGACCACAGCCACCGCACTTTTTTAATATTACGAAAAATTAATTTTGGTCCCTTCAGTTGAAAATATGAACTCTTCTACATACGTATTGGAGGGTTGGCCCTTCTTTTAGTCTTGTGGGTCTTCTAAACAGAAACACAGCTTGAGAGCCTACATTTGGAGAGGTGAAGCGAGTCAAAAGGTCTGTTTACGATCAATGTTCACTGGTCTCGTTCTTGGCGTAGTAAACCGCATGTAATGACAAACGTAAGACCAGACGAAAGGAAAACGTAGGCTCCACATTACTGCGGATAAACATTGGTTACAGCAAAGAAAGCAATGACCAACGGGACCAAAAGCGAATTCACTTCACACTGTCGAATCGCTGCGAAGACAAACTTCTTGCTGTTTTTGTTTCCAGCCCGTTTCGCGCATGCTCGCTACAATTCTCGAATGATTGACAGATTTCTTAACTGGGGCGACCATGGAAAGCCAGAAAGCGGCAAGATCAAAGGCCGTTGCCAGCCCCCTTGACTGGGCCAACCGAATCGATGACTAAGGTGCTCGGAGCAAAATACACTACTCTTGCACATACATAATTCAGGACAACTTCTTGCATCAACTAGTGGACTAGTGGACGAACCTACGAGGGATCAAAACACACTGGACCTTGTTTTAACTACTAACGTTGACTTGATAGGCAATGTTGTGGTAGGTGAACCCTTTTCTGATCACAATTCCATCACCTTCACCCTAAAGAGTGCGCCTTCTATAAGTCGTATTTCTAAGAAGTTTGTTTGAGCCTTCAACAAAGCAGATTGGAGTCACCTTAGATCTCTATTTCAATACTCCCCGCGGGATCGTTGTTAAACAAACCGTTTCCCAGCTTTTCGGAGTTTTTTGAACGTGTTTGAAGAATTCGCTCGAAACGGATAAAATACACCAGAAATTGTGGTATCTTTCGAAGGATAACATAACTTTAAACTAGGGTATCTAAAAGATAGTAATGCTGCGGCACATTCTGTTGATACTGACATTAGGCAGTGAGACTTAAAAGAATAGAAAATGACGTTGAATGTCCTATTTAGATGTTGGAAAGTAACAATTACTATTAGTCTACAGAAAGAACTCGTGGAAACGTTGTTTAGAAAATGATCAAGTGGTTATCAACTCTGGTTTGCCCACAGTAAACTGTAGAAAATGTGACTCTCCACAGGATTTTAATGCTAAAGGTGAAAGCACGCGCACGACACGCTTTCACTTTAAAACAAAAGAATTTATTTTAACACGCTTTAGTACGCTTGCAATCTTGCCTCATTAGGAATTTCTTTTGTTTCAGAGGACACGCTTGAAACAATTAAGCGTGAGCAAGTCGAACAAAAGAGCGTGTTAAAGTTTTTCAAACAAAAGCCCCGTGCGAAAAAGAACAACAAGCTTTCAGTGTGCGCAAAGCACGCATGGAGTGTGATCTATAAGCTAAATAAATTTCCTCTACAAAAAGGAACCGTAAATGATTATGACCGGCACCATTTTTTTGGTAACTATCGAGAAAGAAAAAGTTCTACCTAAGCAATCGCAGCGATAGTATCTGACTGAAAAAACGTTGTCGCTTGAAAAGTATAAACAGGGAACGGTGGGACCTACCGGATTTATAGGTAGAACTTTATTAGCATTGCAAAATCAAAGTTCTTTCCAGAAATGTTTACTGACGAAACTGTCACATTCTTCTTGAAATATTACATCGCGTATGCTTCAGTCTTATTGTCCAAATTCCGTAATCATCCTGTTGTCGTTCTTGTGACTGCCGTCTGTTTTACAACCATCTAAACAAACATTCGCGCTATGAAGTTACGGCGACCGATTTAGCGTCATCAGAAGTGTTACGGCCTACAATTATTTAAGAGTCTTAAGTAGTCTGCTACACGGCCGTTTTAGGCCCGGTTCAGACGCCGCTCCACTCATGTGCCGAACCTAACTGAGGTATTAAGTACGGCAAAAGAGCGGCGTCTGAATCAGTTTGGTACGGCAGTTTTGATTTGGTACGGCAAAAACGTTAAGCGGCAGGTTATTCATACGGCGTTCTTCTCATGTGCCGAATCAAATACATACATTATGGTAATTTATAAATCTTCCCATAAGTCCCTACATGAAATAAAGATTATGTTCGACACACGGTGCGCCGTCTGAATCAGATGTCGCGCCAATGTCGCCTTAAAGTCGAACCTAACTGCACATGAGTGGAGCCGCGTCTGAACCGGGCCTTAGTGTCGTCACGCAACGCTCCTTCCACTGAAAACGGCTGTGTAGCAGACTATTATTTAAGCAGCGCGAAAATAATTTTTTATTATGTCGCGCTAGTTTACTGCGTCTTTTAAATGCCTATTTTACGTTGATGCACGAGTGGATTTGTCACCCTCCTGAAACTTGGTAGTGCCTTGAGGACTAACTTAAAACAACATGAGGCCTAGCGTGTTAAATTTACCAAAACAAAGGCAAGTGTGTCCGTCTTTGTTTTTTCAATTCAATATGTGCATATCCGTGATCTACGGCACGCTAAGCGTGTCGTGCAAGCGTGTCGTGAGCGTGCTTTCACTTTTAGCATCAAATTCCCGTGGAGGGTCACAAATGATAGAAATTCAGATTGTTTATCCATATATTTATTATAGGGTGTACTATCTTTTCTCAGAAAATACGATACTTGTTTATTGCACTTTATTAAATAACAGTTATTTAGGTACACCTAATTTCAATAACGTTGTCATGGAAAAAAGCAAAAAGCAAAAAGCCAAATAGGAATTAATTAGCCATGTGATTTACATTTGCGTATTTTAATAATATAACAATTATTTAAGAAGTCATTCACAATAACAAGAAATAATTCTGTAATTCCGCGCTGTAAGATTCCGCACATGAAACAAGGATGTGTGTAACAAAAGGGTCCTGACAAACGAAGCTTGGTTTGTGGCGCGGGAGAGGAACTGGCGGAGGAACGGCTCACCCTCTCCGCGATGGAAAGTCCTGCCTACGCCCCTGATTTGTTGCTTGAAAATTGTGATCTGATGGTGTTGTGCACTACAAACCATATGCAGACTGGCTTTTCTATTTAGCATTAAACGAAAAGACGCGTCGCGTTCCTGGAATTTACCCTAGGCTATATTTATTGAAAAAAAAATGGAGCCATTTTTTCTTTAGTAGTTATCCGATGTACGTTTGTAATTAGAGCACGTTTGAAATCCGCTAGATGAATCAGCCTCGAATTGCATTAGAATGACACCAAGAAACTGGTGCAGATGATTTCTCTCATATTACGTGATTAATATTCAGCTATAAGCGTGTGTGTTGGGAATGTTGCAAGCACTGATAATTAAATGCTAATTAATTCCTATTTGGCTTTTTGCCTTTTGCTTTTTGCTTTTTTCTATGACAACCTTATTGCAAATAGGTGTATATATTTATAGAAAACAATAACACAAAAAACGGGAAAAAAAAGAAAGAAGGAAAAAAAGAGTAGAGTAGGAGCCGAATCCGGCACCTAGGGCTCGACGTCACTACACCTAACCACTACACCACAGAGGCTAATTACGTAACTTAGGGGAAAAGTCTTTAATTTCCTCCCTTTTCCATGAAACTTCCGCCGGCAAGATGATCGCCAGCCGCATTAACCGAGCTATCAACAGTAAAAAGGCAATGTAAACGCATTTTCCATGGCAATGAATGAATGAAAGAACATAATTATCTTTTCAAAACGCCGATACACGTTCTCGACTGCAAAGTAGGACGCAAAATGTATGTTTTGTTATCTCGATTTCCGCTGTTATTTTTAAGCTAATGGTCAAAATCACATCCATCTTCGGCTCATGCAGGTTCTTAAGAATAGCATGGCATGACATTTTCGCACATCGCCTTCTAGCGAGCTGGAATTTGTATATACCCCGTGTTGCGGAGTCGCAGAGCAAATGCTCATCGGGTTTTGCTAAAAGCAGGCCCGCAGCCCGGCGGCCCAGTCCTGATTTTCCACAGTTTTTTTTTGTCCAGCGGTAAATCCACGCGCATGCACAGATCTGCATCGGGTTTGGGCGTGCAAAATGGACGACGGTGAGTTTGAATTCGTTTACCATTTTAATCATTTGAATCTTTGTTTCTGCTTGTTGCATGTTGTTCAGATAAGAACGTTTTCATTCTCTGTTCATTCGTCTATTTACAGAAACCTATAGAGGACGTTTATTATCAAACGATGTAAGTTATTTTCAAACCATTATAATTTGAAAGTGAAAATATCATAAGTAATGGGATATGTGAACTGCGAATCTTTTCTAAACAGAAACATGTCGGTCTATTTACAGGAACCCCACCCCAAAAGGAGAGCCTGTTATCAAACATTGCTTTCCGTCGATGTAAATACCGTATTTATTCGAATACGGTAAGCGCCCTGGGCAAGGAAAGAAAGGATCGAAAAGGATTGAAATGATTATTAAAATGGTAAATGAATTCAAACTCACCGTCGTCCATTTTGCACGCCCAAACCCGATGCAGATCTGTGCATGCGCGTGGATTTACCGCTGGCCAAAAACTGTGGAAAATCAGCACTGGGCCACCGGGCCGCCGGGCTGCCAGGCCGTCGGGCCTCCGGGCCGCCGGGCCGCTGGGCCGTCGCGGGCCTACTTTGAGCAAAACCCAATGCTCATCTTCTCGTCAGGTTTAACGCCTGGACGAGTCAAAGCAAAATCCGAAAAGCAAAAGCAAAATCGGAGCAAAATCCGAAAACGAGATTTCCTTAAAACGAAGGCAATCTCCTCCAATAACCCGGCTATATGGGATCAATTTAGGTGTGCAAGAAACCAGGCAAATAACGCAATTAAACTCGCAAAAAACTCTATGTTTCTGACAACTTGGAAGCCAACAAAGGTAATTTGCGCAAAACATGGAATGTTATCAACGAGCTAACTTCACGTAACAGTGGTAAGTCAACGAATATTTTGGAGATCAAGGTAGATAATAAAATAGCAAGTAACCCTATGGACATTGTGGAAACTATTAACGATCACTTTACAAACGTTGCGCAAGTATTAGCACAAGATATTCCTGTTGTCGATGCTAATCCTGAGTCTTATTTAGAGCCCACTGACCATTCGTTTTCTCTGCAAATTCCGAGTGTTGATATTCTTTCTCACGTTTTGTCGAAAATTGATGAAAAGAAAGCCACCGGTCTTGATATGATTCCGAGTAAATTGTTGAAAATGGCTGCTAATATCGTCGCACCCTCTCTTGCCTCATGCAATATTCTCAAAGTCTGCTCTCACTGGGATATATCCAAACGATTAGAAATTGGCCAAAGTGACTCCACTTTTTAAAAAGGGCATTAAATCGGACCCTAACAACTACAGGCCAATATCTGTAATCCCTATAATTTCGAACGTTTTTGAAAGAATTGTTTATTATCAACTTTTCCATTATCTAGATGATAATAAATTGCTACTAGGTTGCCAATCAGGGTTCCGTTCTCTACATAGTACGCTCACGGCTTTGCTTGAGGCAACAAATGCTTGGTCAGTAAACATCGACAATGGCCTTCTAAATGGCGTTGTCTTTATTGACCTTAATAAGGCATTCGATACCATTGATCATGAGATCATCTTGCGTAAGATGTCATACTTGGGTGTCGATCAGGCAGCCATAAAATGGTTCTAGTCGTACTTAAGTGGCCGAACCCAAAGATGTAATGTCAGTGGCAAACTATCATCTGCTCGTACCCTCAGTTGCGGCGTGCCGCAGGGTAGCATATTGGGTCCTTTGCTATTTTTAATTTACATTAATGATCTTCCCAACTCTCTGCGGGACGCCGTACCAAGAATGTTTGCCGATGACACCAACCTTAAGTTATCTGCTAAGACGTTAACAGAGCTTAAGCTAGCTCTAACCCCTGAATTAAATAACCTTAGCTGTTGGCTGAAAGCTAACAAGCACAGTCTAAATGTTGCTAAAACAGAGCTAATGATTATTGGATCAAGACAAAGACTATCTGCCCAATGTGACGATGTAGAAATCAGAATTGATGACCAAATTATAAGGAGAGTCGATCATACCAAATCCTTGGGTCTTCCCATAGATGCTCAACTCTCTTGGGGTAAACACGTTGAAGAGATTTGCAAGAAAGTCTCTTCAGCTATAGGCGCCCTAAAACGTGTTCGGCCTTTTATATCCAAAGAAACTGCAATTCAAATTTATAACGCCTTAATTATGCCTCATTTTGATTACTGCAGCCCCGTCTGGGACTGTTTGAGTGGTTACTTGAGTGATATGCTCCAAAAATTACAGAATCGTGCAGTCAGAGTTATTACTAAATCACCCTTTCATGCGAGCTCAAACCACCTTCTCTCCACCCTCAGCTGGGAGAGGCTATCTCTTCGACGAAAGAAACAAAAAGCCTTAATGATGTATAAAACCATGAATGACCTTGCTCCGGAATATCTACAAAGTCTTTTCTCTCAGCGTCACTCTGCTTACAACTTAAGAAACTCTGAGGGAAGGCTGACCCTGTCCAAACCAAGCACCAATTATTTGAAACGAAGCTTCTCTTACAGCGGGGCCATGTTATGGAATAACTTGCCCAAAAACTTAAAAAATGCTGCATCCGTTGAGCATTTTAAGCGAAATATCAAGAAGGTAGCTGATATATCGGATTCCCACACGGCAATCATGTAAAGCAGTTGTAATTAGTTTTAGTTTTTAACTTAAGCTTAACTGATGATTTCCCGTGTTTAAATAAAGATTTACATACATACATACACACAAAGGCTCTTGAATTGAAATCCAATCCCCATGTTAACCATCGTACTCATCTGAAAGACTCCTGTGTGTCTTAAATTTGGTAAGACCTCTAACCGTGCTGTAGGAAATTTGCCACAAAGAAAACCCTAAATCTAGGCAGCGAACGATGCACTCTAACCCACCGAACTTCCCCGTGTTTATTTGAGTTGTTCGTGGCGCAATGCATCCTGGTAAAAAGGAGCGCAGTGCACCCTGGTTAAATGCAATGCATTGTGGTAAAAAGTGATGAATTCGAGAATTCGTACCAACTTATATATTTCCCTTAAATCCTGATTATGTTGCTGCCTGCTCCGTATGGTCGCTCCGCAGCAACAAGACTCACGTCCGAAAACAGTTAAGGGAAGCAACGAGTCACTAACATTATGGTGTACACACAGTAAGAATTTCGGCAGGCCAAAGAGCTAGAGTCGTGGATATACGACAAAGCACGAGGTGTTTTACCCGGTATAAAAATTACTCAGAGATGTCAACATAAGCACCACGAATGTCAAAAAACCCAGCAGGCTTGGTAGAAAAAATAACGTTTTCCAAAAGATAGAACGGCCGTGAAAAAATCTATATGAATAGCCGTCTCTGTCATTTGTACAACACAAAAATACGACAGGAGCTAATGCAACTGTGATGTAAGAAAAAAAGCGGTTGTTTCATAATACGCCTGATTCATAGCAAAATTAAACAGTTTTTCGCTGACTTCACGAGAATTGCACCGGATCTTTTTTTGGTTGAAAGTGTTGCTAACATTTATTTGTGTTTATTTGCTAACAAAAACTACGTTGCGTGATATTTGTCACGAACTAAGTAAACAACCAAGTTAGTTTACTTTGAACTGATTTGCAAAACTCGACGGAACTCACCAACAGTACTCACTCTAAAACCTTAATAATTTTTCTATAGAATCTTGTTGTCAAACTCAGAAAACCGTGAACACCTGAAAAATTTCAGGAATGTTGATTGGGCACTGGCCAATCACAATAAAGTTCAGGATACGCAGGCAAACCTCAAAACCGCAAACTAATTACCGTTGCTGTTTGCGGTTTAGTTATTTTGCATCTTATTGGCTTATTTCTCGCAACACAATAACATTCCATAAATATTTCTGATGTTCACGGTTTTGTGAGTTTCACAGTAACATCTCACGGAGAGTATGTCTAAATGTCGCGGGTAGAGGTCGCGGGTGCGGGTGCGGGTGCGGGTAAAGGTCGCGGGGCGCGTAAGTGTCGCGGGTAAAAATAAATCACCAAATTTAACCAAAAGATAAAATAAACAACCAAACAAAAATTTCTTTTTTTAACTTTTCTAACGAAGACTAGTCAGCAGCGCAAAGGAAGACTTCTTGTAGTTGTCAGCTTTTTCGTTTATTTCCGACAGGTTTCGTCTCTTACTGAGACTTCTTCAGGGAATGAATACAACTAATAAAGAACTGTATATAACACACGTTTTCTGCGTAAGTAAAAATTCCGATAGAAGTGAATAATAACTTAATATGCTGTAAATGGACGTCATAAGAAACATCTTAATACATATGTTGTCATATTTGGGGGGCCATGCGATCAGCGCTAATCGTATGGCCCCCAAAAACGCAACGGAACTATCGACTCCATCAGGATGAAGAATCGATCGATCGAAGTAAAACTTGAAATATTCTTTCTTTTTGTCACTCTGTGAAATCAGAACTGTGAATGAGAGTTTTACCCACGTGCACGGGTATTGTTGCCATGATCAAGCCGCCAGTAACGTGGGAAAAATTCGATTTACCAGGACGGCAAGTTCTTTCGTGCGGCCGCGCCAAAATTGAGCACGAACGACGAATGACAACTATCGATTCATACTTTTTGCTGACGAAGTAAGTACACGCAAGTCTCATAAAAAAAATCAAAGCTGTATTTTCGATGAACCAAATTATGTCTTCATATATATACACAGAAAACCACTTCTTTTAAGTGGACATGTCATATAAGCTGACACTGCGGACGCTTACACTGAATAAAGAAGGGGTCAAGAAGGGGAGAGAAAACATAGTGGGTGGTCTAGGATGTAGTTCAAGGAGAGGGGGAGATTGTTTTTGTCAAAAAAGTAACCACTTTTGTAAGATCTTGCTGGAGGACTTAATCATTTCTTCTAATTTAATTTTCAAGGGCTCGTTGTTGAAAAACAACAAAAGTTCTAATTGAAGTATTATATGGTCTTGTTAAATGTAACAGCTATTTCTAACTCTTTCATGTCTAACCTATCACAGCGCTAAACCCTGGTTTCACTTGCCATTTTCAGGTCTTGGCCACGGGGGGGGGGGGATTCTTGACGAAATTTTGATTTTTCCATCACTCGAAAATGAAGAGAGAAATGTACTAGGCATGGAGGAAACATTATTTAAGGCTGATCACTCGCAACATGGTAATTATCAAAAACCAACAGGCAGATTACGCATTTATGACCCTAAAATAATTTTATTTGTCTTGGGTTGCAGAAAAATGAAAAAAAGAAGTATTAATTAAAGTAAGTTTTTCAGTCCGATGGGGTTTCGGTTGTTTAAAGCGGGCACTGAATTTTTACACACCCTTTTCAATTCACTTCGCTGCTACATATAGGTAATATAGAGGTCAGCAAAGGGCCAACTATTGACTTTTGAAAAAGTCATGCAGTCTGCAAAACAGCTACATAAAATGACTACTTCAAGCTAAATTCAAGCTTTGGAGAGAACGTGAGCCCGAAATACTTTTTTTTTCTCTATCAAAGCTTGAACCTCCTCCCCTACAAATCCCAAATGCAGGTATCTCGGTTACTTGGGGCAAATTTAACTAGCCAATGTAGTTTTAAGCATGTGGATTTTTCTTTAGTGACTTTTTCCTTTTCATCGCCCTTAGTCAGCTTTAAATAACTAGACTTCCTCGTTATGACCAGAGGACCAAAAAAAAAGTATTGCAAATCTTCTTTGAAACATAATCAAATTTTCCTTTATTTTATTGATAATTTTATATTAAATTTGGTGATTTATGTTTACCCGCGACCTTTACCCGCACCCGCACCCGCACCCGCACCTGCGACCTCTACCCGCGAGTCGCGACCCGCGACATTTAGACAAACTCCCCCTCACCCTATACTCGAAAACAATTCTGGATATACGCGTCCAACATTGTTTGCGGGGTGAGGGGAGGGGTTGGACCTGTGTGAATTGGAAAACGCCCTAGAAATGCATAGTGTCCCAAGACTTGTCCACGATTGTAGGCAGGCGAAGATATTAACGACGATTGGACAGCATGTAAAGACATTTTCTTCGCCATAGTTGATGATTGCATTCCAAAATACAGGCAAAAGAAGCGACTCACAGCACCATGGATAACTTAAAGATCTTTTTAAAATTTATAGGAAGAAAAGAAGTCTCTACAAGAAAGCAAATAGCTTACTAAAAAAGAAATGAAAAACTGAAAACAGACAACAATGCTAAACCATTCTGGAACTATATAAAATCGAAACGAAAACGAAGAAACGACTTGGTGCTTTTGAAAAAAGATGGAAAGGAAATTACGGAAGATGAAAGTATAGCTCAAGAAATGAACTTATATTTTTTATCTGTATTCACACAAGAACAAAGTAATTTACCCCGAATTTGGCAACATAATAAACGATAAATTGAGCATCATTCTCGGGGCTACCAGCGAAGTGGAAAAATACCTGAAAACACACTGAATGCTCACAAGTCCCCACAGGGCCAGATCTGATCCTACCTCGCATCTTGAAAGAATGTGCACATGAATTGTCAACTCCTTTGAGTGCATTTTTAAACAATTCATTTACCACTGGGTTGTTGTTGCCAACAGACTGGAAGATAGCCAGCATTACACCAATTCACAAAAAGGGACACAAGCACAAAAAAGAGAACTACCGTCAAATCTCTTTAACCTCTGTTGTTTGCAAAGTGGCGGAGTATTCTATAGTACGATCCAGAGTTACAGCTTTCTAGATCTGGTCAGATCGCCACGTCTTAAATCCAAATCAGTTTGGTTACTTAAAAGGGAAATCTTCGCTTGCAGAACTGCTAAGTTGTTATCACCAATGGTGCTTAACAAGAAATAGCTCGTAGGCAACAGGTGTCATTTTTCTAGACCTATCAAAAGCATTTGACAGCGTGCCTCTCGAGCGTCAAGTGCTTAAGCTCAACCGACATGGTATTGATGGCCATCCGTTGCTATGGTTCAGAAACTTTCTAAAAAATAGACAACAGAGAGTCGTAATAAGTGGAAGGTTCTCGATTTGGTCCCTAATGACATCTGGTGTTCCCCAAGGCACAATCCTCGGGCCCACCTTGTTCTTAGTTTACGTAAACAAAATACCAAATGTTGTTACTTCTTCTATTAAAATGTTTCCTGAAGATACAAGGATTTACCGTGAAATTAATAATGCTGAGGATACACCAGCACTACAATCGGATTTGGATTGCCTGGAAAACTGGACAAGAAAGTGGCAAATTAAATTTAATCCTCAGAAACGCGAAGTGATGCAAGACCAGCGCATTAGCAGGAAAAAAGTAAACATCCTTGTCACTTGTCGAATACAGAATTAGAATCAGTTACCTCATGCAAGGACCTGGGTGTTTGTGTCAAGAAACTGATCCTGGTCGAAGCAAGTGGATGCCATCGTAAATAAAGCAAACAAAGTGGTGGGCCTACTAAAGCGTACAGTTGGTTGCAAGAACAGAGAAATTTTCTCTGATTATGCTCTCTAAGTCCTTGGTTAGACCAATACTAGAATACGCATGCCCGGTATGGTCGCCCTATTTAGTTAAAGAAAAGTTGGCAGTCGAAAAAGTACAACGAAGAGCATCGAGAATCGCTCTCGGTCAAAACCACGGGAGATGTCAAATGAAGAACGATGTATATCGCTAGACTGGAACGCACTTCAGCATCGAAGAGAATACCTGTCTGTAGTGGAATGCTACAAGACAGTGTTTGGTCTAAATGGCCTAGACTATAATGACCATTTCGAGTATTGGAGTAAAAACACTAGAGCCAACCATCTATACAAAATACAAACTAAATTAGCTAAAGTTAACTCATTTAAGTACTCCTTCTTTGTGAGAATCGTCAAAGACTGGGACAATTTGCCAAACCATCTCTTCACTGATGAAATTAACGTTAACAAATTTTAAAGAGGCTTAAAAAGATGGATGAAAATTATGTAATGTCCCAGTTAGCCGGGTTGGCTCGGTTGTCATGTAATCACAAAGTCACTTTTTGTTGCGCTTTTAGTCGCTTTTTGTTGCATTTAAGTATCGTGCCACGACTTGGCAACTGATGAGAGAGCCCTTAAAAATTAACTAATGGACAGTAAGTATCAGACAAAATGGTTGTCGTTTTGACAGTGTGGAAAGCAAGCATCTGTATTTTTACATGGACAGGTCATTTTGTCTCCCACGAGTGCTGGAACTTGTAATGGCGAGGCTCTGGCGTCTGGGGTGCTGCAATTTTTTTTTTTTCTGACTAGGAATCAGGAAATGTGTTGCACTTGTGTCCATTGTATTTATCTTATAGGTAAGCCGGAACAAAGACCATTCAACGGCATTTTACATGCACACCTGATTAAAGCAAAAAGTTGTCACCTGAAAACTATAAACCATGACCGATGAGACCTAATGGATTTATGGGTGAACGTTTATTACCATTGCAAATTTCAAGTTATTTCTAGAAAATGCAAGCTTACATCATCTTGATCTTCTCGCACCGATGCATTCCAACAAGGTTCCAACGGTTTCCAGTTTTCTTAGGCCTAGGCCAAACGCCGGACTGTTCATGATATGAACCTACTTAGTGAGTGAAAGTCATGAAAAGTTCGACATCTGGCTCAGTTAATTTTGTCTGGATGAGTTTGGATCGTCCAAGACGTTCTATCCGTCTTCTACGGACGGCGGATAGAACGTCTGAAGATCGAGGCCCGGGGGGTACTCAACAAATTTTTGTCAGGGGAGGCTCCGCCCCGGGGTCCAACCTCTTACCCTCATATCTTGTTTAGAACTTTGCATCCCTTTCAACTACTGTAAATGCACTGTCATTTAAATAGCACTGGACGAAAAAACGGATTTACTAATGTTTGCGAAAGGTGCAAATATGTGGTAAATTTGGAGCTCCAAATTTGCATTACATTTGCGCTGTCGGCTAAAGTGTGGGCAAATACATATATTTGCTAGATAGGTATTGATACGCAAAAGTCAAGTAAATGTAATGGTTTGATACAAATTTGATACATATTTGCAGCATGGGCAAATCTTCAACATTTCTACCAATTTACTCAAATTTACATCCCTGGCAAAAATGACAGTTTTCACTGTACTTCAAATGCAAGCAAAAATATTGCAAAACCCCTAATTTGCAGTGGTGTTTGCTCTTGTTTTTCCAGGATACCAAAAGAATACTTTCGCTTGTGGTTTTCTAGTATTACCCTTAAGAGCATTTAAGACATTTGGCTCTATCATAAATTTGCACATTTGCATCATAATTATCCATATTTGCAAGGGGAGCAAATATAGTGAACTGCATAACATTTGCTGACAGTCAAAGGTGATGTGCATGTGACATTTCCTATATGTTTGATTCGTTTTGTGACTAAAGTAAAATTCCAATCTCAACTGTAACATTGCATTGTTACAATAAAATTTTGTACACGTTGTGAGACTCCGCCCAGAGGTCCAACCCCTTACATGCATCTTTCCTGTTAACTGTTTTATATGCACTGTCATTTTAATATAAAGGAATCAGAAACCAGTTAATTTTTTTGACAATTTTACAGTCACAAATTTCTTCTGTTAGTCTTTTTACAGAACGAAATGACAGATAGTCTACCCTCTCATATACTTTTCTCTACTTTACAAAGCCATAAAATTTATCTGTTAGCCCTTTGGGCCCTTTCATGACCCAAAAGACATTTTTTCCTACCCTTCCGTATATTTCAATGAGTAAAATCCCTACCCTCTAATATACCTGATGCCTGACAATGGTACCGTACCCCTTTCGGGCGGAGCCTCCCCGTATAGGCCATCATAGGGAGTAACCCCCCCACCCCGCGAGTCTGGGACAAACATAGACCTTCACATGCGATGAACTAAACTAACAAATTAAAAATTTGTATGATAATGCATATTTAGCCTCGTTCAGGAGAAAATTTTGTAACTTAACGTAGACTTGAAAATCATAAGATGAGATCGAATAGTTTTCTGAATGAGCTAAAAAGAAGCTGGCATATCTCAAACAAAGTAAACCTGGGATCTATATTTGCACGAGAAGCTCGTGATAATCAGGATAATATATAAGCTCTTCTAGAAAAAGTTTTGAATTTGTTTTGCTAATACCCGCCCAGAAATCCTTGAAGCCTTGTAGTTCATAGTTTATAGTTTTCAATCAAAAACGTTTTTTCCAACAGGTATATGCAGGCATTTAGAATTGGCCCACGAGGGAATGCTCCTCTTTAAATTGTAGATGGCCCTTTCCTGGAAAGGAAACGCATAGTATGAAACTTCAAACGTGAGGGAACAAAAACCCCCTTCCCCGGAAGCCTCAGTAGTTTATGGTGTCACTCTATTGTTATTTCCAAGCTTTTACAGTATGCTCCAACAGGAGCCCATCATTACTCACTTCTTCCCGAGATTCCCGGTTAGCAGATTCCCGTTTAGCAGTTTCCATGGTATTCAGCAAGAGATAATGAATGAGCTCATTCTCTCTTGTATTCGGTGGGCTTCCCGCCCCTGCCCCCACCCACCCCCCCCCAAATACCAAGGAACTAACAGGCAACTCCCAAGGGTGTTTTGCTTTAAAAGTATAACGAATAAAAGTCTATTCCTATTCAACTGTTTATAACAAAGGAAATTACTTTTGTTAACTGTAACGGTAAAGTCAAAAGAATAACCCACCGTTAGCGGTAAAAAAGCCCGCACAACTTAAGCCGACAGCCATAAAACAGGAACTTGTAAAAGCCAGTATAAAAAGATCAATTGAAACTAGCATACCACAACTGCAATTTAATCTTCTTTCCCTGAAGCTCAATAGCTTTTACCCGAACGTCCACTCCTAGAGACAAAAAAACAGAACATAACGAATACTGTAAGCGAAAATTGTAGCTATGCAAATGTCTGAGAACATCAGCATCATGCAACGGGGCACAGTCAAAAACTCATAAGTTTATGAGTCAACACTTTCTGGTATAGCTTTATGCCGAAGGACGGGGGTCCAACACATTCATTGACACTTCCTTTAAACATCGATTCGGTTACAGCGAAATTCGTTGTATTGCGCTGCGCGTTTTGAAAACTTAGAAGGGATTTTAGGTTTTTCTGTTCCGTCAATCATATTAGTGAAGGC